GTTTTCTATTCAAAATATTACTCTTGAAAGCAATTTCTAATTGGCTTTAGAGGCGAGATACTGTACTGGGTTAAAATAAATTTTCAAATGATTGTGTAACGTCATTCTAGCGAATTCTGTAAGAAAAATAAATGCTAATCAAAAAAGCACCTGTTTCATTTAGTTGTAGTTTTTTGAAGACGTTACCATGAGAAATAACTTCAATAAACTGTTTTTCATATCTCTAAGTAGCAAAATCGATTCAAAAGAACTCCCATAACTGTAAACAACGTAGGGAAACCCCTATAACATCTGATCAAAATTTACCCGGATTGACAAAAAAATTCATTTTGAAGTAGTTCTTCACAAATCCTTGTTATTTTCTTGAAAATAGGTCTGAGCCTCGGCTGGGATGGCCTTCAATGCTTTCAGCGAATGTTGGTTTTTTCTGTTTCGGTTTCGGCTCATTTTGGCGTCGTTCGCTAGATTGTTGGACAGTTTCAACATTTAATTCATAAATCCACGTCCCGTCATTAGTGAAGCGTTTCATGAATGTAGGGTTCTTACCTACGTCGTCAAGCATCTCTTTTGCGACTCCTACTCGACGTCGATTTTGCAAAAGATTTAGGTATTTTGGCACGAATTCAGCATTGACAAGTTTCATACCCAAAACATTAACCAAAATGTGTTGAGTCGATCTTTATACTTTTTTACTGTTTCTTTAACTTTTTCGATGTTGTCACTATTAGATGAGAGGTGGTGGTATATCGACCAGTTCGGATCAAATTTGATCTGATGGTATAATGGTACACTGACTCCTCGAAGTCGACTATGATAGGAAGAAAGGGAGTTCGTCGCGGAACAACATTTGCCCCAATAATATTATTGGGGTTTCTAATCGCGCGGCAGTTGTATGAGATGCTGTGAAGAGGGAAGGGCACAATAGACTATACAAGTATGTTACAAAATAGCAAGTCTTCAATCCTATCTAATTCAAACTAACTGTATGAAAACCCAAACTATAAAAAATTGAAGATTAAAAAAAAAAAAAAAAAAATAAAACTAAAAATACCCTTTTTAATAAGTGTTCTCAATAAATAGAGCATCAAAATATAATTAGCATTCCGACAGCTGCTCAATAGCTCGTCCAAAATACCTAGTGACCCATTTGCATCAATCGTTTTCGCATTCAAAGTGCCGGCTGAGTGTTAATTGCTGTTCGGTCCCATTCAATGAATAAGCAAGCGCTTCATTATATGACATAATGACATTTTTGTGCTTCCGCGATTTTCAACGCAACAATAACAAAAAACAACATTGTGTGAACAACTCCTAAACACTTTCATAGCAGCAATCGTTTGACGAGCTGTGAGGACATTTTTGACCTATAAAACATAATTTTTTGCAATCGTTTGCATTTTTCCAATGAAGTGCCAAGAGCAGTTGCAACTTTTTAATGTGCAACACATGTGCATTACTTTGCCGTTGTCGCTTACCGTTACAAACGCTTTACGAGCAACAACACCCTGTCATTAGTTCGGCGCTGTAATTTCGAGCGCAAAGAAATAGTAGCAGTTGGGAGTGCTTGCGTATTAAGCGGCGGAAGCGGCAGTAGTCTCTCAGCCTCAGTATGTAGTGGGCAACCACAAATGATAATAATAATATTCTAAGCACTGACTGTCCGCCTGCTGCATTTGCGACATTTTGACGCGTCTGTGCGCGTCTAATGCAGTGATGCGTTGCATTTTCTTCTAAGTGTCGCCTTGTCCGTGCCCACTCGATGTGACTCGCTTTGAGAAAATAGAAAAAAAAAATTAAAAAAACATTTTTTTTTTTTACTTTGCCATTTTGAGCTTCTACACTATTTTTTCTCTTTCGACGAAGCATTTCTCTTTAATTTTTGCTTTTCTTTTCCGCACATGAGTAAAGTGTTTAAAATTAGCTGCATTTGATTTCGTTTTTTTTCGTTTATATTTTCGTACATTTTCTTCCTATATTCTTTTGTCCATTTTTCATTTAATTTTGTTATTTTTAACCAAATTTATTTCATTTCTTACATTTCTGTCTCTTAGCTTCAGTTGGGCATGTTTTTTATGGGACTTTATGTATATATATTTTTTGTGTTTGTATATTTCCTTATATTGTTGTTGTTTTTATTTGTAAATATGTGTGTATATTTTTCAGTTTTCGCTTTTGAAACATTATTTAAAATTTTTTTATTCTAGTTGTTTTTTGTTTTATAAATTATTATTATTTTTATTTTTTTATTTTTATATTCTTAAATTTTTTTAATTTTTTAATTTTTTTTTAATTTCTCTTTGTGCCCTTATATCCAATTCTGTTGCTGTAAACTCAAAACTAAAAGCCCTTTATGATTTTGTTAATTAAGCAAAAAATATAATACCGACTGACATTTTTATGCGTGTCGTTAATCGAAGTATATTTATATTTACCTTTGTTTGCTAAGTGTTGCGTCGCATCTTTCTTCGTCAAAAGGGATTTGTTAAAACAAAAGCCTCAGAACACAGACTGTGGTTGTAAACATGTCAATAAAGAAAATAATGTGTTAACAAGTGGAGCATTCGCTCAGATTTTTCAGACGATAACAGTGTAAATTTTTCCACTCAGCTCTATGGACTAATATTTAAAAACTTTTGGAGATACAAAAAAAAAAAAAAATTCTTTAGTCATATAACTATATGTAGATCATAAACTATAAATAAATTAAGGAATCTAATTAGTTTTAACATGATCTCAGTCCAATCTCACTTCCATTAATATATATGTATTTATCAACTGATCGAATTTTACCCGGACTGGTCCATTTAAACTGCGCGCACAAACCGAATGTAATATTTGTTTAAGACGCAAAAAGTTTGTCTTTCGATGTTTACTATGGAAAAACATTGAACAACGTGTTTGCTAGAAATTTGGTGTTTCCAATGGAATCACGGCTAGAGAATCGTTGAAAATGTTGCTGACGTGTTTTGGAGAGTCTATTTCATCACGCAAACATCGAAAACTTGGTTCATGTGAGTCGTCCTTCACCTGTTAATGACGATAACACTAAAGAAACAGTGCTGGAACATCGTCGTCTTGGCATAAGAGAGATATAGCAGAGGATCTCAACAACTCTTATGGATTCACTTAACATATTTTGGTTAATTTTTTTGGGTATGAATCATCTCGTAGCACACGACTAGAATGTTTTGCAAAAACAACGTCGAGTGGAGGCCGTAAAAGAGATGCTTGACAACGTAGCTGGGCTTTATGAAGATAGATATAGCTTTATGAATATGACATCGAAACTGTCCAAAAAATCTCTCAAATGCGGCTGAAAAATTAGTCGAAATCGAAAAAACACTAAAGGCCATCCAACCGCGGCTTATATTAAAATACGTAAAAATCAAGTTTTGTTTTTTGTCAGTTCGGGACATATCTGATGAGCTGGTATGTTGCCATAGTTTGAAGTTGAGGGCTAAACAACTTCTGGCGATGCCAACAAATTTTGTATATATATCACTTGATGTATCACGGTTTGTAGCTATCGCCATCGATAGAAATCTCCAATGTCTAATTGAGATGACTATCTTTATCCAACTTATATATATATATATAATTCGTTTTTAGATCGTTAAGTAGACTAGGCCTGCTGTTTTTTAGTTTTGAGTTTGGTGGTTTCTGAAGTTTTTGACTAAATAATCCCTATCCCCCAAACCTTCATTTGTGTTTTATATAAATATATTTAAGGAGAATTGAATCTCACATAAGTCTTCTCTAAACTCTGAACTGTTGAAGAAGCAATCAGTCTGATTATTAGAGGTAGCAACTAACACAATGCAGTACATGATTTCGATTCGTATTTCTTATAAGGTCTATCTATGGTTCTATAGACTAATTTGAATATTTCTTCTAAAACTGACGGAGTAAATGTTTTTTGAAAGCTTAAGCTTAAGTATTTTTTTATACATTAATTGGTTGAGAATTAAATGCTTTTAGGGGAACGAAATATACATGAAACGCCAAAAGGTATGCTTCAGATTAACGTTGGAAAGCATTTAATCATATAATAAAATATTTTGGGAACAATATTTCTCACTAAGAAAAAGCAAATGAGTTAATGTTGCTGCAACTATTATTTTTTAATTAATCTCTGCTTAAACAACTGAAGTATTTAATTACTGAAATCAAATTTATTAATTATGTCATTATCTTTAGAATTTGAATTAAGCAATGAGCGGACATCATGCCAACCTGTGGCCAAAAGCAAGGTCAAGTTCGCCGATTCGCTTATCGAGTACATACATCTTTACAATCTTATTACAGATGTTTAATTTTTTTAATTTTTTAAAATTACACTCTAAACACTTACTTCAAACACTCTAAACAACACAAGCCCAAAAACGGTTATAATTCATTGCCAACTTGAAATAACTACAGTCATTAACGTAATTAATAGTTACTATGTTTGGCACGCAATCGACTGCTACTTTTTCCAGTTCATTCACAAAAACCTTATTAACAAAAATATTTCCCACACTACTCAAACAGAAAAATACCGAAAAAAGAATTAAGTAAGTGTGAAAGAAAAATTTAAAAGTGGCGCACAAGAAAACGTAGTAAATAATTATGAAAATTTTTCTGCACTTCTTAAAAAGCCATTAACGAAATTACCGCAATAGCTTCGCGGCTGGCCGGCTAGCTACTTCACTTTACGCATCTTGCCGCCAGCCAACCTAACACAACGCGCTGCCTGGCCGCCCAGTTGCGCTCGATTCGCCAGCGCTCTCAGGCGCTAAACGCGAGCAATATGCAGATAAAATAAATTTTACTATTTTGGGCCCCAAACTAGAGTTGAGAAACTAACGCGCGCGCACACACATTCGCCACCAAACTAGCATCTGCTTGAGGTCTCTTGTACGAATGCTCGCACGCGCTTATTTTGGCTGCTCAATGGTCGCATCGCTCCACATACGGCTGGCTACACTACTGCCACTTGTCTTTTAGCCTTTTAGTCGCCGAGCGAGTGTGGTCGTGGGGTGGTTACGCCGCAGCAAGCCGTACGCATAAGCGCAAAGTGCGCCGCGCCGCATACACAATATTTCCCGAACGATTTACGAGTCTGCAAATTTATTAGTTTCTTCAACGCGCTGGTTGTTGGCGTTTCGAAATTTGTTTTTTTTTTGCTGTTTATTTTAACATTAAAGTTCATAGTAAATAGTGTTAATAATAACTACAGAAGATAAAGACGAAAAAATTTTTTGGCAAAAAGAGTTTTCTCATATATTTCAACGGTCTTTTTGGTTTGCTATAAAATAATTGTTGATTGTTGTTGCTATTGTATTGTGCTAAAGTGGCGATGTTGTGGTAGTTGTTTAATATTATTGTGATTATTTTTAATTTTATTGTGTGATTATTGTTGTTATTATTTGTGTTTTGTTTGTTGTGACTGCAGTGTTATTTTGAATAATGTTTTTTTTTTTTTGCGTCTTGAGATGTTTTTTAGATAAAAAAGAATATATTTATATGTCGATCAAAAATAAGACCAAGATCTTCATAAAATAATTTTTTTCTGTGTCTGAGATGTTTTTAGTTAAAAAAATATATTTACTGATCAAAATTGATATCAAGATCTTCATACGAGATAGATTTTATTCCTTCTTGTGTCTGAGATGCTTTTTGGATAAAAAAAATTGATAATTATCGCTAATATTTTTTTGACAGACTTATTTGGTTCAAGTCTATATGACCCTTTAGTTACAGTTTTTAAATTAAATTTTTATTAATTTTTGACTATTTGATGGCTGAAGATCGGAAGACAATTCCAACCACTGATCTGCTATACAGCTTTAGCATATCTTGCTCTAACTTATCATGCTTTATTAGTCTCCCGGTAATGGTTTTTTAAAATATTTACTATTATAGGTAACATATGTGGATATTTAAGAAAATAGTTTTTCTCTGTGTTGATTGTTTCAAGTTTAGCGGCGTTAAAGTAGATTTGAAAATACATATATATATATAGATTTATTAGATCTTTCAATTTTAGGAGAAGAAGACCAAAAAACTGTAGACTTAAATCGAACGAAATAAATAAATAAATATACGAAAATCTGAAAAATATAAAGCCACTTAGGTCACCAAAATAGATTAAGACAGTTTCGTCACCTTGTCCTTTTCGGAGACCGTTTGACAGAAAAATACGTTGGAACGTTAAGTTTTAAATGAAAGCAGGTGACAAAATTTGGCGTGGATTATTGTTCAGATCGGATCTCTATAGAATATATAGGGTCTACCAACAACAAAGGCGTGATTTTAAAATGAAATAAAACAATACCGACAATTTTCAAAATGAAACGAACAATATTAAAATGGAAAACCTTACTGAACACACTGATAAAATTTTACACAAATCCATAAACAAACATGACCGCCACAAGCTGTCAAAATCACGGCATCCCTATTGGTAGACGCTGTAGTTGCCATACAACGCAAGACCAAGATCTTTGCATACCCTTTTATGCTATAAGAAATGCAGATGTAAAGGATGCTATAGTTTCGGTGCAGCCGAAGTTAAATTTTTTTCTGCTTTTAGTTTTTGTTGGTTTTTGTGTTTTCTAAGGAGTCTTTATTTTATTTTATTATATTTTTATTGTTCAGTTTTTATTTATGTTTTGTTTAATTTTGATTAAAACTCTTGTTAATTTGTATTTTTTAATGTTTTATATTGGGTTTAATACAAATTAAATTATTTAATTTAAGTGGGTGTTTATTTATTTTTTTTATTTTTAATTTTTTTTTTTTATTATTATTTTTTTGGTTTTATATCCAATTTATTTTTATTTAATTTTTTTTATATATAATAAAAATTTATATAAAATAAAATATTCTATATATTAAATTAATAATTTTTTATATTTTATTTTAATTTGTGTAACTATGTGCATTTAATTTTTCTTCATTTCATATTATAAGTTGAAATTGATTATCTTCCCTAATAATTTATTTTTAATATTCCGCGGTTTGAACATAATTAACATAATATATTTGGTTTTAAATTCTCTTTTATTTTTATTTTAACTCGTTCTTTACACACATGCATATCTGTATATTTATAAAGCATATACATATGTAAATACACATATTATTCCCAGCAGTCCACTGGCTTTTCATGGCAAATGTTTTTCTTGGCATAGTGCCTGCCACACTTAGCAGTCCGCCAGGGCGTATACAAAACATTACAGTTGAGTTGGGTTCTGTTGAGTAATATTTCGCATTTTTTCACAATATTTTTCCGGGCACACATTACAATCACATCTATAATTGTGCGTATATTTATACGAGTTTATTTCATTGTGCGCTTTTTTGCGATCATTTGTAAGGCGGCAATTTCTATAAAGAAGTAGTTGAGCGAGTGTGTTTGGGTGAATGGGTATTAGTGTAATTGTCAAATTGTGTGTTCAGGAAATTAAAATAATCATATAAATATTTGTATTTAATTAAATTACTATGTTTGTCATATTTTATAAAATTTCTCTTCTTTAGCATTTGACGGCATAAAGAGCATACGCACAACTACATATATATGGCATATTTGTGTGTATGCATGTAAGTGGTTTCAGGCTTTCGAAGCCTTGTCGCTTTGTTTGTCAAACAATTGACGCCTTCGTTTACATCTCTGCCACACCATCACCACCCGACGCCAGCGACGCATTCGCAGTGTTAAAAAAAATTATAAATATTAAAGTTTTTTTTTTTAATTTACGCGCGTTTAAGCGCGCACACAAATAGGAGTATACAGTGTAGAACGTGCTACACATTTTAAATTTTAACCGAAAGCATACATACATACGCTGGTAGGCGAAATGCCTGTGCTACGTCAATTCTCACGCAATCCGCAAACGCGCAGTAATGAGGAATTCATTTTCATACGTTGTGGTAAAAATACAAATGTATGTATATGTATTTGTGTAGTAAAAATAATTGCAATAGATTTATAAGTAGATACCCACATGGCACATACACTTATGTACATATGTATGTATGTATGAGAATTAGACAGCATCAAAATTATACAAAAAATAAACAAATAAATTTAAAATAAAGAAATAAGCATATAAATGAATATACTTATTTATATGTATTATGGTGGGCCAAACAAAAAACGTTAAATTTTTTTCCTAAAATAAATATTTTACTATAAAATATCATTTTTTAACTTTTCTATTTTATCTAAATTTATCAAAAGTTATAAGTAATAACATACGAGTATATTATTATTTTGAGGCATTATTTTGGAAAAATTATAAAAAATTATCATTTTCGAGTTAGGATTATAATTTGACCTGGAATAACTTTTGAACGAGTCGACTTAGCAAAAAATCATATCGGACCATTTTTGTAGATCGTTATATTCGCTAAAAGAATAAGTTCTCATTTTTAGTATACAATAATTTGTTGAAATCAATCAAACATCCAAACAAAATAAGAAAATATTCTTGTGTTATTTATCAGAAAATCAAAAATTACAATACGCCACCCGTTACTATTTTATTGTTAATAGCGCTCAAAATATATCAGCATTTGTTTCGTAATTGCGGACGATATTTTCACGATATCTGAGAAAGAGAATTAAAAAAGTTTTTGATCCACCCTAATATGTTATATGTATGTATATATTTGTGTACTTGAAATTTGTATTCGCATGCATGTATATATGTTTTTATTGTTGTATTATTAGTGTAACATATGCTTATGTCTAATTGAAGTTTGCATTTTATGTCAGCATCTATGGTATGTTGTGATAATTTTAGCACCTTGTACCTACCCGCACCCAATACCCGCTTAATGTACACGTACAGACATGCATACATAATTTATGAACAAATATAAATATGTGTGTTGATAGGTATGTAAAATATATTGACACGCTGGTGATTTTTTTCAGGCAATTTTTTCGCGTTTTGTTTAAACATTTCCTTTTGAACCATTCGCCATCCATACAAATTACCAAATGTTCGTTTATTGTTTTTTTTTTTAATATATTTTTTTTATTATTTTCCCTTCAATATTTTCATATTATATTTTTCTTTTTTAAGTTTTTAAAGTTTTTTTTTCAAATTTTTTTTTTTTTTTTAATTTTGTTTGATATTTTTTTTAATTTTGTTTGATATTTTTTTTTAATATTTGAATGTTTTTTTTTTTTTCTTAAAAACACTTTTTTTTTATATATTTTAAAACTTTTTTTTTATATTTTAAACTTTTTTTTTTTAAATTTTAAACTTTTTTAAAAAAATATTTTTTTTAAAATTTTTAAAGTTATTTTTAAATTTTTTTGTTTTTCAAATAAACAATTGTTTTATTTCTCCTTTTGTAAACAAATTTATCAGAGCTGTGCGGCACTCGTTAGATGGCGTTTAATCGAATTGCTGTTGAGAGAAATATGGCGTTTGCCTCTTAAAGATTTATGTATGTTTGTATATGTATTCGAGTGTAGGAGGCGTGAGGTATTTACTTTTTTGGTTGTAATAAATTAAATTTGTTTTTAAACATTTTTTTTTATAAATATGAAATTAAACTTGCAACATATTCGCAATTAAAAAATAATTTCCTTGTCATTAATTGATCTTAAATCTTAAAGAGTGAGTGAATGAGCAAAACAGTTGTGTATTCGGTTTTGTTTATACTATATTTTTACGTACTATTTTAATTATTGTTTCTTTCTGCTATTTTTTTGTTGGTTTTTTTATTGTAATGAATTTAAATAATCATATTTGTTATTTGAGAACTTTATTTTTACTATATTAATTTTTCATCATTGAAATATTCAATTTAAATCATTTTCATAATCTTTTCATATTTACTAATATTGGAGACCATATTTCTCCAATATTCTCTACTGAATAATGAGTTCCAGAATAGCTTCTCTAACACATGTTGCGTTATTCCACATTTTTGGCAAAGACAGTCGTTGTCAATTCAATTAAAGTGTTCAATTTAAACCTTCGCCCATTAAGTTTTTTAACAATATATTTTAAAACTTTTCACTTGGAAATTTTGTTTCCATTTTTACTTTAAGTAGTCCTTCAAAGTGATATTATTGTCACTATTTCTGTCTGTCATTGAATTTGACATATTGTAAACCACAGATAAAGGTTTGCAATATTATTGCAGGGTTTCCATGTGTGCGGTATTTCTAATTCTGAGCACTTGTAGTGTAGAAGGCATACACAAGTACAAAGTACCTCTCGTTATTAAATAATGCATGGCGGCATTGCCGTGCTCCAAAAAAAGCATGCACAACCAGTTTTTAATAATTCAAAAGTTTGCAATAGTCGGTCACATATGCATATTTTTATTTTCCTGCTCTTTATTTCTTCTTCACACTTTTAAACTCTTTTCTGATCAACAAATGTATTGCATTACCGATCCGACTTTAGCAATGGAAATGGTCTGCAATTATCAAATGAATGCTTTTTTTTATGAAACTGCAGACATTTTAAATGAAAAAACAATGAAATTAAATTAAATAAAAAAACAAACAAACAATGAAATTAAATGATTTTAGTGATCGAGATTATCGTTCGTTTATACCATCATATCGACATTTAGTATTTGCTAAATTTATACTTCAATTATAATTCACTGAACTGTTTAATATTCATTTATTGTTTTTTTTTCGAATTTCGTCTACTAAAAACAAGTTTTGAACGCTGTTTTACGTTTATGAGTATTTTCGTTAATGAATTACCATTAATAGCCGAATTAAATAATCAAAGCCCTTTTTTGGAAAATAATTTTGAAATTAAGTATTTTACTTTTTCATGCACATTTCTTAAGGTCGGTTATTTATAGACACTCTTTTGTGACACTTATTTCGGAATAAGGGAGGTAGTTTGTTTATGTTAAAGCAAACTAAAATATTAGGAAAACCAGGATATACCTATAGCTGTCATACAAACTGATCGATCAAATTTAAGTCCTTATATGGAAAACTTCTTTATTTGTCAAGATATCTTCACGAAATTTGGGGTAGATTATTATCTAAAGCAACGCTATAAGCTTCAAACAAAATGTTCATATTTTATATATACATTATATATATATATATATATATATATAATTTTTTTTATTTTGTATTTTTTAGTATTTTTTGGCTCCATTTGCCATATCTTTCTCTTTATTTCGGTAAATTTTCAGTCTAAATGTTTTCACTATTCTTTGATATTTATTTTTCTTCTATTTATATTTTATTTCTTATTATTTAAGTGTATTTCTTTACAGTTTTTCAATACTAATTTTAAAACCTTTTTACCTTGAGTAAATTTTTCTGATTTTACTTTTGCAATTTCTTGTTATCTTCCACTGAAGTTTAGTTTGTATCTTACCAAGAACACTCACTATGCTTACATATATACACACAAACGTATGTACATATTAAGGTGGAGCGAAATTTTTTTTATTTATTTTTTTTTTTGCTTAGCCTGAGGGCCAAATTTGTAGATTATAGGAAAAGAAAATGTTTGGAAAAAATTTTTTTTTTAACATCTGGGGCAAAAAATATTTTTTTATTGATTTAAACTCTTCACATTTATATAAAAATTACCTAATTTGACAGTTTTTGATTTAAAATTTATTTTAACGCTTACGGAGATCATGTTGTCGTGTAAGACTTTTTTTTTTAAAACTCCAATAATGACCACAAGAAATTTTTTTAATTTGATAACTTTTAATTGGCCAGAAAGAGGACTCTCCACAGCTTCTAGAACACTTATCAAAAATGTTTTACGAAATAAAAATTGTAACTCGAAACTTTACTTTAAAAGTGAGTGGGCCACCTTTAGATGTTCAATAATTTTGTTTTCTCCAAAAATTTTATTTTTTTATAATCAACAAAAAAATTTTTTTTTCGCACCACCCTAGTACATATACAATTACATAAATATATACCAATTTTTATTTCTTCTTATCACATTTGCTGATCGACGCCAACAAGTTGAATAGCCTTGTTCTTCTGCACGTTGTGTTTACACATACATACAAACAAGCGTACATATGTATATAAATACCATACTATTTACTTACTAATATATAACAGTATAATATAATAGTTAACGCTATATTTAAACTAGCTATTTGCAGATTTTTAGTATTTGCCTAGTAATCTAAGTGCAAATAATAAATAACTCGCGAACAACGCGATAAATACAAAGGAAGGTCTATTCAAAGCTTAATAAATAAATATGTTTGTATGGGTTGTTGTGATATGATTACTACAGCAATGAAGATGTATTATTGTATTACATGAAAATTATGATAACTTCGCGCTAAAACCAATGTGGCTCCATAACAGACGTGCAGAAAGTTGCCAGCTTTTTTAATTTATTTTAATAGAATTTCAAACAAACTTATATAAACTAAAAAGCTCATGCTGTTTTCTTCTTCTTTCCCCCCTTTCTACACAGACTGTCCAAACATCTTGGCGACCTCAGCTGCCGTTGCCCAAAGAACTTGACGACAACGCCAACGACTCCACCGATGATCAAAGTGCGTCTGCCGCAGACGCCGCCAATATGGAGCGCTCCGCACAGCATCGCACAGCCTCACATGCCAGCAACCGAAAAGACAATTCGATAAGCGGTATACAAGCTTCGGCGAATCAAACGCCAGCGACAAGCGCTTCGAACAAGAAGTGGTCCTTCGGGCGTCTCTTTCGTCGCAAGAAAGAGATCGCTACGGAGTCGTCCTCCGAAGAGGATCGTAAAGCTGGTTTTGTGCCACACCAACAAAGGCAGCCACAACGCGTCGCTAGTGGCGTAAGTGGCAGTAGTGCTAATTTAAAAATAAAGTCAAGTAAATCGCATAAAGTTAGTCGTAGCGGTAAATTGAATGGTGCCAGTTTCGATCATATTGTTGTCAATCCACAAACGGCGGGCGCAACGTCAACACCACCGCATCCACCACCGCCAGCACACGTCGATCATGAATTCTTTTTGCCCGTGGAGACAATTTCACCAACCGAGGCATACTATCAGAATCAACAACAACAATACATGCAACATGGTGCACAATCGGCGGCATATACGCGCTCTGCCAATTCACTAGATCGACGCGCTGCAAGAGCTGCTCTTAAAACGCGCTCAGCGCAGCGGCTGCCGCATGAGTCGGCGTTTGGTGCACATTCTTCCAGTGAAGAGGAATTGATATCGCTGAATTCATCGACATTCTCGAAGTATCGCAGTGATGAAAGCATACACAGCGGCGGTCAGGGCGCCGCTAATGCGCAGAGCAGGCGTAGTCGTGCCGCACGCAATGAACGCTACTACAAACGGTTGTCGCGTGACGGTGAGCCCAGTAGCGGACAAGTGCCGGTGATGTACGCGCCGCAACCAACACAACGCTGGAAAACCCAGCCGGTGCCGCTCTCCATTTACAACCCATCGGCGCAAGCGCACACCGCCAGCGCTGCAGCGGCAGCAGCCACACCGCGTCTACGCAATACAAGCAGTCTGCAGCATGTTGCACCCTATGTGCAGTGGGGCCAACTGCAGCAACAACCAAAGAATTTGCAAAATACCGTTAACGATAGTAAGCGCAGCATCAGCTATGACAGTCACATACATTTGCAAAATATAAATGGACGTCTGCAGACGAAACCGCTGCCACCACCACCGCCGCCACGTGATCCGTTGCGGCGCGTAAATGTTAGCGGACAAATGCAAAATGGCAGCGCTGGCGATTTACGCCCCATTTCATATGCATTCGACCAGAGCGGTTTGCCAACGTTGCCGGCAACCAATCAGCGTATGGGCGGTCGTTGTGTATCGGATGATAAAATTTGGTCGGGACCTGCAGGACCACACTATCAATCAGTGCATTCATTGAATACGCCAATTCTTAATGGACCACAACCCATGCAGGGTACGCCACATCACCGGCGCTTTATAACGCGTGCCGAACGTGATGCGCACCCCGCGAAGAAATCACTGCCGAATGGCATCGAATTTCATTATGTTGCCGATGCAACACCGCGCTCACGCAAACCCATACACATGCTCGAGCCGCAGCTCGATACAGCGAGCAATGACGTGGTTACCATGGGTATTTTACGTACTTCCAAAAGTGGTCTGCCTACCGCGACGTCCAAACAAATGCAAGTTAATGATTTCTGGAAGCGCCTGGATGCTAACTCTCATCAACGCGGACGCGACTTGGCGCGCACTCATGCGCAGGAGAGCAATGTGAAACCACGCTCGATTTCTAGTTCACGTGTGGGCGAATTGCGCGCTTACCCAATACCCGTATACTCGGAAGTCCAAAAACCACATAAGAAACCAACACAAGCAGTGCCGCCACCCGGCGTGGATGAAGTGGACAGCATTGTGTGCGGCAGCTTGCATATAAAGTCCAAGCCGGACTCAAACACAAATTTTGTGGAGATACGTAATAAGGATTATAATAAGAGTAGTTCAATGCCAAACCATTATCAGCGGCGCTCGGGTGAGATACCCAATACGCCGAATAAATATGACGAGTATGTCGCTGAGAAGCGCGAGCAACATCACAAGCCAATTTTCACGCCACCAACACCGCCGCAACGCAAACTATCCATACCGCCTAGTAATGTGGCTGAACTGCCTATATATTTTCCGCGTAAGAAGCCCGCCAATTTGGAGGAGGCAATAAATGAACTCGAAGCGATCTATAAGTCACTTGGTCTGACCGAGGAGCCGGAGAAGAAGGAGCGCGTACCGACACCAAGCGAATTTGAAAAGTATGCTTTAGCGCATGCGCACGAATATGATGACGAGGATTCGCCCACAGGCGAACCCGATCCGATACGCGACGATGTGGCCTATCGTAACATGCAGTTGGCGAATTTGCAGCACAAGACCGTGGAAAAGCAGCCACCGTTCGGCATACCTGTTGGCCCGGTTGTTGCCGCGCCGCAAAACGACTATCTGCATGTTATACCAATTGTAGAGCTCATCCAATCGGTGAATACGCCCGATGTAGTTAAAGATGATTTGGCGGTGCGCGCTTTACGTAAAGATCCACCAGGCGCCAAAGATAAATTCATCTATCCCTACAGCTCATTTCAGAAAAAGAATCGCGCTACGCGCACACAGTCCGCGAATATTTATAATCTTATACATCGCGACGCCGCAAAACCATCTGGTGGTGATCTACACTCTTATTTGGAATTGACGCGCAGCTTAGAACGTGCTGGCAGCATGTCCGATCTGCACAAAGATGCTGGTGTAACTACCGCCGATGTGCCCACAACACTAGCGCTGCTGCGCAATCTCAAAGAACAGGAACAACAACAACAGCAACAGCCGTCGACACCACAAAAGAAAATCACGTTACCCTTCCGACATCCAAGTCAAGGCGGCGCCATTTGCGCGCTGCCCGAAAAGTTGCCTAGCAACAGCGCGCACAAGGAGGAAGTGCACAAACCGCCAGTGCCGCTGCCGCGCAAGAGTCTTACACCCGAACCGACCGCAGCGAATGCCCAAATGGAAGATGCTTTGAATAAAATCGCAATGGATGCACAAGAGAAGTCGGAGAAACTGACAAAAGAACTGCAAGAGTTGCGCAAGGAAGCGCTCATAACTGCCGCGCGGCCCAAAGTGGCGAACGCTGAGGAAGAGCGACTCGAGAAGGACCTGCAGGAAATTGAAGCCGTATCGGAGGCTGCAAAACGTTGTGGTAAAATGCTCTTAGATACATTACCGGATGCCAATGAGAGTACAGTGCAAGCGAAACCGCGCAAGCTGCACAAAGAGGGGAAACTGATCGAAGCTATCGATCAGGTGTCCGAGGCGGCGAATGCGGTATGTGAGAAAATACTAAAGGATATTGTAACCACTGAGCCGCCGGTAGTGATACAAGAGGCAGTGCAGGTGAAGAATAAGCAAACACCCACTGAAATGCTCGTTATGCCAAATCTTATCAAAAAACTGGATCCCATACAATCGGAGCAAATCGAGGCGATTGCCAAACGTTGCATGCGCCAACTGAGCGCGCTGGCCGATGACAACCCCGACTATGACAACCTCAATCAGGAACTTCAACAGCAGAGCGCAGGGGGAGCCGCCACAGCCGTTGCTTGTAACGTCGAACATTTATCAAAGGCGTCAGCGGCAAAAGTTGATAATCTCATTTCTACCGTTGCAGAAGTGACGCCAGCGCAACCAGCTGCGGTGCAGAAGCAGCACGCAGACATTGAGGAGATCGATCAAATTATGCAAGAGTGTGAGGAGCAAATGCGCGCCGAAACTGTAAATTCACCAATGACTACAGCGCCCCCTATAGTGTTGTCCGAACGCACTTTGGCTACCACACGTCTGCTGGGCACAACAACAAACACAGCGAACACGAAAAACAGCAGTGGCGATGATCACACAACAGCGCCCAGCATGACCACAAGCAGTTACTGCAGCAGCAGTAGCAGCAATAACGTTGTGGGCGCGGCCAAGCCGGGCGCCAGCACGACGGCCTCCTCATTTTCCTCCTCTAGCGATTGCCTAGCCAAATCATCGAGTCCCTCCGCCGGTCGACGACAATCTTCGAGCATAACCTCCTTCAATCCTTACTCCTCCAGTGATTATATTAAGTCACCAAGTAGTGAATATCATGCACCCAGCACCGATCCAATAAAAACTTTTAGTAGCACCTCGTACGATGTCAAATCGACAACGAGCGCCACACCGAATATAAGCGCCACAACGAACAGCACATTTAGTTACTCGCCATCGCCGCCACTAAATCTGACGCCCGTCAGTGAAACTGCCGCCATCATTGTCGCCGAAGGTGTTACGAATATCGGCCGCGCTACTTCAGCTACGCGTCAATCGCAGGAGCGCACGCGCACACGCTCCTCTTCATCGCCATCGCAATACAACTCCTCCGAAGAGTTGGCAATGATTTTCGGTATTGACGAGCAGCCTCGCCGCAAACGCGCGCAACAACAACAAGCCAAAGAAATGCAGTCAGCTACAGAAGTTTCAGGTAAAACAGAAATTACTAAATCCATTCATGTGCCAAGCGCGCCATTGACATCATCCAGTCATGCATCCATGCTCGATACTGCTACCAGCACTACTACTACTACTACTACTATTTTTACTACCGCAAATGCTACCCAGCTGTACACTAATCCCAATATTGTTGCTGTTGCCAAGGCCTGCGAAACCGTGGCGCCCGATAATACTAATAACACAGCGCCTCTGAATGTTATTGCTGTTGTTGATGATAATGTTGAAGTTGTTGTTGATATTGATGTTAAAGACACCACTACTACCACTAGTATTAGTACCATAACAACCAATAATCCCACTACCATAGCCATAAATACCAACACCAAAAACTCATCCACTAGTTTAAGTCCAAGTAGTTATAAGCTTGCATCCATACCGGAGTCTCAAGCGGATGAGTTGTCGGAGTGTATGTCTCCAAAACTGTCGCCCAATTTTAATAAGATCTATGCTAGTAAAATAAGTATTATAGTCGATGGTGTGAGAGCTGAGCCTGCGCGCAATGTTGAGCTCACCACGCATTGCGATTCGTCATGTGAGGATGAAACTTCGTCCAATCCCGACTCGGGTAATGTTAGCTTAGCGGATTATCCACTCACGAGTACACAAACGAATAATGCATGTCTGCAGCTAGAAAGCGCGTATAATAGTCATTTTGAGATTAAGAAAAAGAAAAGGCATTTCCGTAGCGAGATATCCATAGAACGCCTAGCTGTTGAGTCCAGCGCGGAAGGTGCGCACGAAAACAAACCAGATGCTGAAGAATTTCCACCGCCACCAAGCGAGGAAGAACTGCTCGATAGTTTGATAGGGGTAACTAGTATGGGGGATGCTCAGAAAATACAGATTGAGGAAATAGGGCTTGAACATGAGGAGATTATAAACAAAAACAATAGAGAAATATTAGAAGATCAATTTGAGTTTTTAGAAGATAAACCGAAATTGCAAGGAACTTTCGATAATTTCGAGGCCGAAAGTACTGACGAAAACAATTTCAAAGAGAGTAGCTTGAGTGAAAACGAAATAAAAACAGAGAGTATAGGAAAGTGTACTTCGAAAGAAAATTTGTTGGAGTCACAAAACCGGGAAAAACGTAGTTTAGACGAAAGTATAATAAGTGAAAATGGTTTGGAAAGCCGAAATGAGGATTTATTTTGTACAGAGAAAATCCAGGAGACAGGAGGAACCTTTCAGAAAGAGAGTACTGTGTCTACCGTAGGTGACACTAGAATTGAACAACACCAAAAAACCAAGACCATTGAGCGAAAATCAAGATCTACTAAAAAGCTCAACGACGCAGATCTGATAGAATTAGCACAACTGGTGAGAAGTAGTAGTGGTTCACGGAGAAATAGTGAAACTTCAACAGCTGACGCATACTCTGCAGATTTTGAATACAATCCAGCCGAAGAACTGAAGTGCACTGCCACAGCGCGCATTAGTACCGAGCTCGAACAACTCCGATTAGCATTCTCTGACCTTTTGGAGAGAAATCTCACAGATATCGATGAGTTGCCAAGCATCGAGGAAGAGGATGATGCAGCTGCTGCGCTTGTTAACCAAGAAGAAGATCACAAAGCCGACACACACACAGAGATGAGAGACGAAATCTATGAAACGCCGCGCCGAAAACTTAGCGTAGTCTATGAGACACCATCGCTAAATCTCAATATATCGGAAGTGAAGATCAGTTATTCGCCAGCAGATCAGCTTGAAAGGGAAAGTACAACGCAAGATGCATTGACACAAATAACACAATGCACCGCCGAAGTGGACCAGCTCAATGAAGCGCTCAAAACGATGCCGGAAAAGGGGTTAAAAGTGTATAGTAGTGCAGTGGCCCCAGATAGTAGCAGTATGCTGCCATGGCGTCGCCGGCACGATGAGCTGGAGGATGATGAGAAGCCATCAACAAGCGCTGCTGCAGCGGCGGCGGTAAAAACGACGAATGAGCGTCGCGCGCTCTCAATATTTGGCGAATTACGTCCGACGGCGGCGATGAGTAGCTTAACGACACTCGAGCACGTGCTCATGGCTTGTTCGTTGGGCGTTATCACACCGACAGATCTGTACACATTGTGCCTAATCATAATCGGCATAATAACCATAATAGCCATTGTTTTATTTTGAGTCGCACTTGCAAACGAGTTTGAGTGTTTGACTCAAAATTAATATTGTTGACTGTTTTTTTTTTTGCTCACCCGTAGTTGTAGTTGAAAAATAGCGACAATTTAGACGAAAAGTCTATGAAAAGAAAACTTTGCACATTGTTAAGTTTGGTAGTGTTTGGTATTAAATAAACGAAAATTATAAATAAACACCGATTAAGCATTTGAGTGACTTTATAAATGAGTGGAGTTTAGCATAGTGTAAAGCGAACTCACACATAAGTATTGTAAATTTGTTAATAGAGTTGTAGCGTTAAGTTGACTACCTGCATACTTAATATAATTTTAATTATAATTTTTGTATTAATTAACGAGCAAAATCCGAAAGATTAACGAAATTAATGAAATTTAATGATTTTTTCTAAAGTTAATTTTTAATTAAAAAAATTTACTTTTTGGAAACTTTTAGCAATACATTAATAAAATGGAATATAATGATTTTTGTTTTTGTATTTCAATTTGAAATTTACTGTAGTACCGCATACAACGAATGCTTTTATTACAAAATATCGTTTCAACATGCGACGCATACGAGATTTATTACAACGAAATTTGCTGACAAAAACGAAAAGTTATTTTTAATTATTAAAAATAATTTTTAAGACTAGTATGTATTTGTTTTTAATACTAACTGTTATATTTTTTTATATAAGCAGTATAATAAAAAATTTGGCGTATTATTTATCAGAAACAAAAATGTTTACAATTATAATTTATTGTACCGTAAACTAAAATTATCATTTTGTAAGTATGTAGTTTTTATTGTGTAAAAAAAATATTTTTATATTTTTTAATATAAAATAAAAATGTAAAGTAATAAAAAAGTACTTGAGAAAAATTAATTTAATTTTAAATTTTTATTTCAAACTTTTCACAAAAAAGAAATATATATTTTGTAAAAAATTCGTTTTAAAAATTTCGTATTTTTAAAATAAAGAATATTGAGTAAGGAAAAACATATGTAAACAATTTTTTTTAATTTAAACCTTTTTTGTACGTTTTTTCGATATAAAATTTTTTTAAAGTATAGGTGTACTGCAGGAAAAGTATATGTAACAAATTTTTAAATAATTTTTTTTTCAAATACCAAAATTTTCATAATTTTTTTTATAACTTTTCAGTGAAATATATTTTGCAAAATTTAGTATTTTTGAAGTATTTATTTTAAAATTTTTTTAGTATTCATATTTAAATGTAAAATAAAAAAAAACATGAAACAAATTTGTTTGAGTGAAAATATATTGTAGTATTGTATTTTACGAGTTAATTATTTTAAAATTATCCTAAAAATTTAACAAAAAATGTGTAATTTATTACATTGAGACAAAAATCATAATAGTGTAAGTTTTTCAAAATCAAAATTTACTATTTTTTTTAACTTTCGGTAAAATGTGTTTTGAAAAAAATTATATATTTTTTAAATAAATATTTTCAATTTTTTTTTAATTTTTACTAAAATTGTGTTTTGAAAAATTTTGTATTTTTGAAGTTTTTTTTTTTTAATTAAAAAAAAAACATTAATTGTACAATTTTTAGTAATTAATCATTTCAAAAATTCCTAAAAATTAATAAAAAAGTTTGAAAATTTATACATACATATATATTGATATTATTTTTCTTCGAATAAATTGTTTTCAATTTTTTTTTTTTTTTATTAAAATATGTACAATTTTTTGCACAGAGTGAAACTTATTTTAATTTTTGTAAACGTGAAAATTTTACAAAAAAAAGTATATAGCAATGAAGCATAGCCCTTAGCAATAATACTAATTACTATATTTACATAGAAACATACATACATACATAGAAACATATATACTTACATAATTTGTGCATTTCATGCGTGTTTCTTCAGCTATATATGTATATGTGTAGAATCCTTAATTAATTTTAGACTGCAATTTGTGCCAATGATTTTCCTACTTATGTATTTTCATTTTGTAAAATAAATAAAAAATGCAACAGTCAATTTAAGTTTCAAACTCAAAACGCAAACAATCATACATACTTAAAATAATATTTAAACAAAATAAAAATAATGATAATAATATCGATTACATTTAATTACCTCCACATCAGTAATTATTTAAGCGCCGTGCAAAACGTTTTCATGATTTTTATTAAAAGCGTTTCTTGTCTTCTCTTTCCCTTATACTTTCAGCTCAAGCCGTAGTCTAAGCATTTACAAAAGCAATTAAATATATATACTTATATATGCTAATTATAAAGTTGTAATCAAGTAATCATTAACAAATGCCAATGAATTTATTTTATTATACATAAATTATTTTATAATTATTTTTATATATTTAGTTATATTTTTTGTAATTATTATTTTTTTTTTTAATTTCAATTTTGAACAACCTCATTTCATGCATTTTTGAGTTGAAAAATTTTGTAAAAAATTCGAACATTAAAATCGATTGTATTTATACTCATTATATGCTAGTAAGCGTTGTATTTCCATGATTTATAAGTACTTGTATTTATGTTTTAAAATTATGATTTATGTTTTTATTTGTATCAAAGTGAAGAGAAAGAATAAAATGTTTAGAAATGTATTTTTGAAAAATGTTTTTATTTTTGGTCTTGTTTTGTTAATGCTTTCGTTAAGTGCTTGAAGTTGTTTTTGTCGATTTATATAGCAACTTTCGATTAATATGGTGGTGTTGCCGGATGAGTACGATTTTTTTTATTGATAATAAAAATATTCTCACTAGTTTTTTATTAATTAAAACTAGTATTTGAATATTCAGTGCAACATTGAGTTCTTCAAAATTGTTTGCCAAACAATTTTTTTAAGAGCGTTGTTGATTGAAAATAATAAAAATAGAAATAATAAAAATAATTTGGAAATCGATTTTTTAATCAAATAGTATGTACATTTTAATTTTAGGAATATAAAAAAAAATTAAAATTTTATTTTTTGATTTTTTGCGAATTTGTTTTTGAAACATATTTCATAACCAATCATGAAATACACCTCTAATTTATAGCGAGTAATCAAGCTCGATTAGAGTATTTTCGTAATTTCTTCAGATTTTAAAAACTCTCAAACATTTAATTCGTTGACTGTGACTTTTTCAAAATAGCTGTTTTCAACATTAGACTGTTTATCACAAGCTCCTTAAACGTGTTTATTCCTTTGTCTTAAAAATAACGGCATATTGCGTACAATAGGAATTAGCAACTTTTATTTTTGCAAGCTGAAAATTTTACACTCAGTGAGTAGTCAACTCCAACTTAACTAGTGAGTAGACTACTCACTGAGTGCTCATAAAGCCTAAGATTTAACTCATAGTGACACAGACTTCAATATAATGGTGAAAAAGCGTAAAAAAAAACATTTCAATAAATATTTTTAAAGAAAATCATTTCTCAGTTCTCTACTAGGTGGCAATACTTATTTCCATTAAAGAGGCTAGATCATTTTCGAGTACAGATTCCGAGTTATTCTTGATATATGTTTTCTTAAGAACAAAGATCACTTAAATCGGTCGGATCGTCGTTGATTCATTGTTGAACCTGTCTCTTCGAACTCCTGTACCAATTTTCTTTACTCTTTGATTCTTGAAATACTTGTGGAACTTTAGTAGAACGTTGTTTTTTAAATAACACAGACAGCAAGAACAGAATGAAAAATATTTTTTTGTTATATAATTTTTTAGCAATAACATTATTTAACATTAGTCAAGGTAATCCAAGAATATTGTATTATTGTTGTAATGCTACGCTATGTTTTTCCAGCGAAAAACGTAGGATTTAGATATGTACATTGTAATTTTGATTTGTAAGCTGTTCATAGTTCTATGATATCTGTCAGTATTGCCAACCCTAAACTTGAATTTTAAAAAATGAGGAAATTGCGTATTATGTAATTTTTTTTTTTAATATAATTTTTAATCTAACTTTAGCATTGAATTTTTTTCGATGTTACTAAGTATCGCTATTTTTATATATGCTTTGTATCATGGAAGTTTTTTTAGATTTTAGTAACCGAAATATCGATATTTTTATATATTTTTTCATAAAAGTTGAATGATTACGAAAATTTAAAATATTTTTTTTTTACGTCTTTATATTATTTATTAATTTAATGTAATTTAAATCCTCAAAAAAAAACTTATCCGGCAACACTGCATTAGTGAAACAACACTCTAAATATAACACTTATTTTCGAAATACAAACTAACAAAATTTGAAACTGTAACCTTCGTTTTTGTTCGGCAAATTCCGTTTTCATTGAGATCTTGTATTCCCTTGCTAATAACGCTATATTTCTTAATTTTATTGTTATAACATATTTTTTGTTTAAGATAATAATATTTATACGAACTAATAAAAAAAGTGCGCTACAATTTAAAAATAACCGTGTTTTAATATCATCTGAAAACGCTGCTGTTACCGCTGCCCAGCCTGTATGTATGTATTATGTACCTATATATATTAATATATTGTAGATATATGTTAGAACGCTAAATATTGAAACACTCCTAACGAAATTTAATCTTATATAATTTTCTGCATACTTATTTTTTTACAAATTTCAAGTAATGATTAATAAGATAGTAGTTTTAATACTGAATATATATAATATATTAAAAAAATTTATTTACAGCAGGGTTATACGTATGTATAAAATACTTATTGTTTAATTTTTTTTTTCGATTCTCAAATTTGGTCAGAGAACATACATGTTAAAAGTTCTCTGGTTTGGTTCACAAGGCTTTCAAAACGTTTGCACCTAGCGAATAGATAACTATTGGCAGCTTCCGTCCGCTACAAATTACAAATACTTGTCGCCAGGTAGTGCTGTCAGAAATTTGAATAATCTGCTGTTAATAACAGCATATGTTATATAGAAATCTACTTTCCGTTAACAAATGTAAATGTTTTTGAAACTGCAGAATTTAAATAATTTTACTTAAAATATGATTTAAATGATAAAAATTTCAGTAAAAATGAAAGATTTGAATTAAGCTCTTCAAGAAAATTTATAGACAAATCGACTTTAGTCCAGAGCTATACATTTACTTAAAATTTTATATTTAGCTGAAAGGAAAATATTAAAGTGTTTACTTCATTATTATTTTCTATGGGGTTCCACTTCAATTAAAAGAAAATAATTAAAACCATAATAAATATAGCAAAAATATACTGAAGGGTAATATAGATAATTGAGTTGAAATACATTAAAAGTGGTTTAAATAAATACAAACCATTTAATATTTTTAATTAAGTTGCACTTCGCTAAAAATCTTCAATATACGAACTCGAAATATTTGAAATTTTAATTATTATCTACTTATAATATTCCAGTTTTCGAAGGAAGCTTCAGGAATACCTTATTGAAAATAAAAAGTACTCATATTACAAATGAAAGAGCAAGAAAACATCAAAATGCAACTTTAGTAGCAGAAGTGCCAGTTAAAAATATTATAATGCAAAATTAAATTGTTTCAAAATATTATTTTCGAAATTTGATACTTTTGAAAATAAAATTTTGGCGACATCATGTTGAATAACAAGCAATGCAATAATACTACTTTGTTAGGGTTCTACAATCTGATATTTAAATTTAAGTATTGTTGGAATTGTTGTTGTTGTGGCGGTAGTAGCAGAAAACATTGCTGAAGTAATTTGAAAAATGTTGCTGGGTTGACAGTTCTTAGCCAGATAAAAATCCGGTGCGTTCAAATATTGACCGACTGTCGTGGAAACGTTATGGGAACTAAAATTGATAAAATATTAATAATCTCGTTAAAATGTAATTACAGTTGAAAACCTGGCATATTCAATCAGGTTGCATTTGAAAATTATCTAGCATAACATGCTATTAAATATAAAGAATTGGAAAAATTCTGGAATTTTATAACAGCCTTTATTTTATGTTGAAATATTTCTATTGCAAACTACAAGTAAACTCTGTTACGTGGTTGCTTCCGGCAAT